ATTATGTTTTGCAAATCTGGCGTCAGTGTGTGACACTATTTAGCTATGGTAATTGGCTAACTAATTAAGCATAGAAATCAAAAAACGAGAAATACTTGAGGCGAGAAAGAGCTATATTGAAAGACAGACCGAGCGACATTTTTTTGTTTTTAAACAAAAAAGAATGGGAAAAGATTTACTTTCATTTGCGAAAAAGATACTTTTTCGCAGAAGTCAGAAAATCCGTAAGAGAAAGCCAGATTTCTGATTATGTCAGAATTAATTAATGTCATGATCAGATAGTGACGCGCCAACGGAAACAGAATTCGGGGAGGAATGACAAACCGACCACACACGGCGACCATAAAAAAATTTCGGCTTCAGTCAACTGCATACAGGCAGAAGAAATCAATATTGGTTATCTATCAGAGATACCATTAATATTTTTCATTCTTGGATTCCGACGAAGAAAGCCAGCCGTTATGTATACAGATCTTGATATGATCATTGTTATTGCTTATTCAAACTGTTGACGACAAACTTAATGTCACCGAAGGTGGGCAGCTGGTGATACAAAAATTTTAAGACACGAGAAAAATAAAGAATTTGATTTTCAGGTGGAACACGACCACCCAGTTAAAAAGTTGACTAGCAGTGATTAATGAGTCGGTAGAGATTCTGCTAAGTGGATTTTGGGTGGCTCTGGATAAAATAAAAATTTAATTATGGCCACGTGGGATTCATAAGAATTCTGGCCGATAGCAAAGAAGAAAAGAAAAGAGATTTTTTTTTTATTTGGAGGATATTTTTCAGAAGGCCAAGTCTAACCACACCCACGCTGCTGAGAGATCATTGGCCAAGTGGTGGCGTGAGTGATAGGCGAAGGTGAATATATGAGAAAGGCGGGGAAGTTGTTGACACCCACTAAGAGGATTGGTATGAGATACCAATATGAGAAAGGAAAAGTCTAGGGGGATAATTCTCCTCCGGCCTCTTCTTCCGGACGAGAAAGTGATTGGCTTCCAAAAATGGGAAATGATAAATTTTCCTGTCCTGAGGACAAAGAGAATTTTTGTTGGGAATTAAGAATTTTCAAAGAACCCAAACTACGACAAGCTCCAAACCGGAGTTGGTCAGTGTCCATATGAACAAAGTCAGTGATTTTTTCGGCAGAGTTTCAAGAGAGTTCGGAGTTGCAGTTGGAGACCAGCCTCGCAGGAGCTGACCGAAAGATTTCCACGTCCTTTTTGACTTAGTCTTCCTACCAAAAGCAAGTTTTTATTGACGAACGACTTAAGATACCATAACTCGCTTAAGAAACGTAAAAAGTGTCACGAATCCATAGAAACGGACCGGGAGAGAAACACACTCCTGTATTCAACAGACAGATAAAGTTAATTGTTATTTCTCAACATATTTGAACCTCGTGAGTTTGTTTTATTATTATTCTTTTACTTACGCTTGTGCGGTATCACCTTTACCCCGGATTCAGCTCGCACTACGGCCCGACGCCTGATTGATTTCGTCTACCTAAGATCAAAGTCACAACGTGGGTAGGTTAGACTTGAGATCAAAGCAGTTACTTCGGTAACCAAGCGCTGGAGACAAGCTGAGAACGACAAAGCTGGTATCGAACCGGAAACGACCTGATCGACCGGGACACAGGCTGATGGCAGCTACAAGGAGTCAACCTCAAAACGCTGGTGGAAGAAACCTTACGGCTTCGTGCCGCAACTGGGAGTTGACCACGGGCCGACGGCGCAGTGTCATATATTGACGTCATGACCAGTGGACGTCCCATATTGGCGCTGCGACCGCGACTACCGGTGTGTGTCACAAGTGTGATTCAAGTGGCTGTGTGGTGAGGATTGTACTCACGCTAATATGAGAGACAATATTGCTACTCTTTGACACCAAATACAAGTGGCGGGTTATTTCCATTAATTTCCCAACCCCACCGACTGGGTCTTTATTTAGTAAGACTCACTTATAATTTGTCAAATTTACCGCCAGTATTATCCGAATGAGCAAGTTTATTAAATTTATATTATTTGAGCCGGTACGCTTATTTTATAAGTTAGACAAATCCTACTGTGATAACTACTAAAGACGACACTTGTATTTTGCACAAAAGAGTTCACACCGTTTAGCTGCATTAAATTATATAATAATCTATATATTATATATCTACAATTTCTCTCTCTCTTTAGCTAGGTAGATATTTACCTACATTTCTTTAAAAAAAAGTCCAAGTAACATCTGATTGGCCGACTTAATATTTTCAGAAATATATTTATCAAACAGCTGACTCGAATGAGCGTTTAGACGGCTGATTAGGTAAGTCACTTGAACTTTCCTGGATTTATTGAATATTATAGCACTAGTCATCTTTTGAATGCTTTTTTGCCAGAAGTTTTGCTAGCCTCAAGAAGCACGTTAAATTCTTATAATGTTCCCGTATTTTTCAGTTATATTATTATCACCATCAACATCATCATTATTATTATTATTATTATGATTATACGACATTTTCCACATTTGTTAGAATTCATTAGAATTTTTAAAAGTGAAATAACGAGGAGTTTGCTTGCAGTTTTTAGATTCTTTGCTTTTCCCTTCTTAAAATTTATGAAAAAGCTAATTAAATGGCGAATCAGGTTTAATTTAGATATATTTTCCTTCGAATTACTTATTTAATTATTTATATACATTTTTATTATTTTACCCAAAACAAGACGATGAAGCCTCTAAGACGCAAATGGTTACTGAAAATGAAAGAAACCGTGAAAATATTATTAAGGAGAAAGGACAATAGGAGAACAGGATTCAAGGAGACAGACGATGATAATTGACATTGCACTAAAATTTTTGAAAATTGTAATTTACTTTAAAGCAAGAAGCCAGAATAGAGTTCCACAAGCAAAGAAATGCGAGAGAAGAAACTGCAAAGATTGAACACATGGTTACATATATTAATTCCAGCAGTAAATTGATGAGACCTCGCTACCATTCTAGTATTGCGTTTAAATTCGTAATGTCAAGGTACCAAAAGCTCATGCTAAAAATTAATGATTTATTTGTAAAATCACGGGAAGCTACGTTGGGCGGTGAGAAAGTGACTAAAATCGAGATGCTAGGTCAAAACCGATTCTTATTTGAATTGTGCCAATAATCTGTATATACATATAGAAGAACCCTAGATCAGAGGTAGCTTATAAAAATGCAAGAGAGATTCTGGCGAATAAAACGATACAGTGAACCAACAAATAGCAGAACTCAGAATTTTTTTTCTATATAATCCTTCTACCTCATGTCGTTGAAAAACGGTAGACCGAGAAGACGCAATGTTTTCTTCTCCTGTAGATTAGTATCATCCATGATGATGGAAGGCAGAAAACGTTTTCTAAAACGGCTAAAGTGTGCAGTTGCGTATTGGATGCGTTAAAGTTAATAAGCAATTTCTTGCCTCAGTTAACAACAGACTGAAAGTCATTCTAAAAGTCAGCTGCTAATTTCACTACCGAATGTATCAGAGTTACCATTAAGAGAGAAGTAAATCGTTGTGTCATCACAGATTCCGAGTCATATTTCCAATAAACAAAATCCTTTACTGTATTTCAAAACTAAGTGGACTATTCCAATATAAAAAAAATCGTGCTTAAATACATATGTAATGATTTTCCAAGCGTAGCTTAGATGTGTCACAAGACAGAAAGTATGGGGCACCCAGTGAGGATCGAACTCACGACTCACTCGTTATTGTTCTAGTGAGACAAGCTTGTTCACTATTACACCGCTTCGAGATGCCCCAGGTTATTTACTAAACGTAGCTTAGACGTGGCACAAGGCCGAAAGTATGAGGCACCTAGTGAGGATGGATCTCACTACTCAGTCATAACTGATCTAGCGAGACAAGCACTAACTATTACACCACTAACAGAAATCACACACATATATATATATATATATATATATATATATATATATATATATATATATATATATATATATATATATATATATATATATATATATATATATATATATATATATATATATATATATATATATATATATATATATATATATATATATATATATATATATATATATATATATATATATATATATATATATATATATATATATATATATATATATATATATATATGGAAAATATATATATATATATATATATATGTGTGTATGTGTGTGATTTCTGTTAGCATATATAAAAGATAGAAAGATAATGTATCCATAGACATCATTTTTTCATTTAATTGGGTTTTATTGAAGACCGCAGACAAGAAATATGTTCGTAATTTTTACTGTTTTTTTTTTCTTCTCTTTACCAGATAATAAATATTTGGTTTCGGTAGGTGTAGAAATAATCTGTAGTGACAGGTCCGAGTGATTTAAGCTGACATTGCTCAATTTCAAGAGGGGAGGAATTTTGTTATGGTTTTGAAATTCAAAAAATAAAAAATACTTTGATCTTTATTCCCGCATGGCGTTTGGTGTTTATAACCTTATAAATGTAAATCATGTATTTTACCGGCTTGATGATGTCGTCTGCAGGCAATTCACAGCAAATAGAAAGTCGTTTGCCTTACTTGCATACGTTGCGCCCCTGCAATTATTATTCACTGAACATATTTAAAATAGGCTGACGAAATTATGAAGACGGCTAGAGCTGAATTTGCCTAAACGTCGTTCCTATAAAACGTATATATTAATCAATATGAGAACAGTAGGTCGAATAAAACGATTGATTGGCTCATTTTCTACGTCTTATCAACCCTTTACAGGTTATTTAAAGATAGAAATTATTTTTAGATTGTAAGAATTTGTTTTAGAGATAATAATAATTTAGTGGTAGAACTCTTACTAATTAACCCATAGTTGGGGGAGAAGAGTTAGATCCATACCTTTCCCAATGGTATTTGCGCGTAACGAACACAACTGGAATTGAAACTCAGCTCTCCGATTAACAATTCCGAGCCACTATCCGCACATCAAAGCTTACAGTACCTGGTATTCCAAAGCGGTCACCCATATAGGTACTGATCATTCCCGACGTTGCTTAACTTCGTTGATCGAAAGAAGGAAACGGTGTTTCAACATAATATGGCCGTATGCTCGAATAATACGTATACGCATTATGAAATTGTCTCACCTAAAAAGGCAGAATAATTTTATGATTCCGAATATTTTCTCCATCATCGCGTCGTCGACATGTCTTTTTTTTTTGCGTAGCATCCTTTCTGTTTGGATGTTAATATAATTTATTCGGAAACAGTAGATTTTTGACAGTACATATAATATATAATAAAATACTTCATTTGGGTTGGTTGCTCGTCATTTGGTGAGACTGTGTAGCAAATAGAATACACATTTCTGCTCTTTTATTTGGTAGTTCTCGCTTTATTTGCAATATTTGTTGGAGATTGAACGGCTGAAAGGACTGTTTCTTCATCTGATCATCCACCAGAAACACGTGGAGAAATACGTGCGAAATCTCTTATTCTCTGACACACTCTAATTCCGCTGTAGCCAGCTGGACCATTTTTATCAGTTTTCAGTGTAAAGCCACGTAACCCTGGCATACATAATCGTGTAATATGGTTACGTGCTCTGCTCTTATTTGACCACATGTAACAGTGAAGTTTACCCCAATGGCAACCATTATCTTGAATATATTACTTTTCTTCAGATTTCTTTGTAACAATCACAACTGTAATTGATTTTGGTTGTTTCATAAAATGTCTTTGGATTTGTCTTTCTTGCTATAATTTGTCTTCGCATATTAGAGGGTGTCTTATCCCAAATCGTATTACCTACTTTCTTCTGTACATTTTTTCACTCATTATCATTCTTTATTGCTAATATTACAATTCACGGATAGAATAAATTTGCATGTGTAGAGAAGTCGATTGTTATTGACTAACGCAAAATTATGGGTTTGTGTCATAATAATCTATTTTTTTATAAATCAATTCATTTCAAACAAGGCCCTAAATGAAAAAGAAAGAACATGATTCAAGATATACAGAAGATTACGATTGACATTGCATTTAAATTTTTGAAGATCGTAGGAAGCAAGAAGCAGAAAACCCGAAGAGATTTCTACAAGAGAGAAGTGCGAGAGATCTTTTTTATTGATTCTTTTTCTATGGCTTATCAACACTTTGCAGGTTATTTAAAGCCAGAAAATGTATTTAGATTGTTTTGTTTTTGATAATTTACTGATGCATAACTGGAGAGCGAAGAGGTTGATTTATACATTTCCCAAGGGTATTTGCGAGTAAGTAAATACAACTGGTATTGGAAGTAGGTTGAACAATTCAGAGCCATTATCAATTACATCACCTGCATATCCAACCTTACAGCACTTGGTATTCCCAAGCGGTCACCCATCTAGGTACTGACCAGGTTCGACATTGCTTAACTCTAGTGATCGTACGGGAACCGGTATTTCAACGTGATGCATCCGTATGCCCGGCAAGGGAAGATACTGTTAGCATTTAACTTATGGTTACGACTAGCAATTCCAGTGGTGAAATTATAAGATACTGGGCGAGTCATTCACTAAGGAGGCCTTGTACCATACTAAGCTACCCTTAATAAAAAACAAAATCGCAGAAGATTAATTATTGTGCGTTGTGCTAGACTAAAATAGCATTGGTATATATCGTGCTTGTAAAATCAGCCGCATTCTTGTGCCTATCAATATGTTTCCGCTTGGTTATTCTTTTCCTGATTAAAAAGCAATGCCCTACCGACGAGTAACAAAACAAAAAAATCTGTAAAAGGATTGCATGTCTAATACTTATTAACGATTAAGAGAGCCAGCGCTTGTCTTAATAATCATGCTTCCCAAGTCGTTGCCCGAGTAGAAAGACATTGGGTCCAACACCCACAGCGTATAGCGTGCAAACCAAAATAGACAATAATAACTGGACAACTGATGAAGAAATAGAGCTCGTTTATTCTATCAGGCATGAAACAAGTTTTTCCTTTCAATGGATGGAAAAGTGCGTATATCTAAATTTTAAGCAGATTGTTGGACGTATTAACATCGAACCTAACATATATCCAGATTATCATATAAACTTTCCCTATATATATCTACATGATGCGTCAAAAAATAAAGACCTTTTTTATTTAACTTTTATTGGAGAAAAACAAATTACAGTGGTTTAAGTTGGCTTAAGATCAACTATAGCTTTCAAGATCGGGGTTGGTTAAATCTTAATTTCGAGTTGAGACGGTTAGGACGATGTGAAGCAATTGAGTGGCCATGACGATCACAAGACAAAACACCTCATTTTCTTGTGGGGTGTGGTGAAATATCTTATTTAGAGGCTCAAGTCAAAAATAATTCCTGGATACAAACAAGTAATTTCTGATAAATTTTCTGAAATTAATGTAGAAATGTGTCAAATGGTCTGCAGCAGTTCAACTTTGTACTGAACATGTAAGTGAGCATTTTGAACATGTTATAAAGCTTGTTAATCATAACAAATCATGTTGTTTTGATGTGACAACACTTATGAATTTTCTTTATATTATTATTTTCTTTATATTTTTAATTTTTGTTCACTAAAAGTTAATAAATAAAAAATGGCGTAACTTTTGCCACACCCTGTATATCAAACTACAGGTATCTATCTTCTCTAGTACTCTCTTTCAATAAATTCATATTTATATATAAGCCATTTATCAGTTTACGAAGGATAAACCGAAAATAATGTATCCTATATATTTCCACAATGACTACATTGTAGGGGTCGGCAACCTTTTGAAAAGATCTGGCCAGAAAGCTATGCAGTGTCTCGGAGAAGAGCCATGATATCAAATTTACTATAATAAATTGTCTCGACCTTGGACCGCTCCGTCAAGAAGGCTGCCTTGGTCTAGACGTTTAAAGAAAAAAACGAAATTAATGTTATATTATTCAAAAAAGATTCCGTATTTTACTGCAAGAATAACAGGATAGCAACTAACATAATCAACAAAAAATACAAATTCCTTACTACAAACTAAATACAGTTAGAAATGACAAATTATTTAATGAGACACTTCTGTTTATTGTTCGATGACTTCTCCACATCTCCAGAAGGCACGGTGGAGTTATGGATAGCATTGAGGAATCGAAGAGCCGAGTTCGAACTCCAGTACGTTCACTTACGTGCTAATACCCTTGGGAAAGGTATGAATCTTCTTCTTCTTCCACCAGATATGGGTAAAAAGCAGGACAGACCAGCGTGGCAACTGGTCTAATGCTGAAATGGCAACCTACTGCGGGGAAAAAAAATCTGCTTCGTTCGTCATGTATCAAAAGATACATGATCGCTTAAGCGTGTAGCACGCATGGCACATATCTGACTGTTCAATAACTTCTCCACATCAGGTGAAAGATTTGTCGATGACAGGAGCAAAACATCATCCAGGAGGTCATCCACTATATTTCATTTTCGATAAAGGTTTCTCACAAACTACCGTCATTTTTCTCATTATTCATTAATAAGCCTTTATATTTTCCGCTTGACAAATCATATTTCTTAGAGAAGTCAGCTGTGGATTCGGAATGAAATTTTGATTTTAAAACTTCGTTGCATTCTAATTACAACTGATATTTTTAATTATTTAGATAACTACACCCTTGTAAAAATTAATTGAAACAACCGCTTTACTTTACTTTCTTTCACCATACTCTCAATTTTAGACCCACTGGAGTGACAGGGTGTAATCGATTTCTATTTTTTCTTCGGGTTAGGTCATTTGAAGTAGTGTGCAGTAATATGAATCTATTTTCGGAGTCTATGATGAAATTTGTTTAGCCTTGAAAAATATTGCGTCATCCATGATTTCATCAGATTTTTATCACGCCCAGACACTATTGTCTCGACTGTCGATTATTTGTCCTACGGTCATTGTCTACGATGACGTTACTTCAAGGAAGCGTACGAAAATTTTAATGCTGTACGAAAACACTGGAAAGCCTTACCAGTGAGTAAATCAATGTCATATAGACCAGCCCGGAAACTCACCTAATCGAGAATCTGTAGGCAATCTGCAAGGAGCGATTTCATGGAATGGGCATACGAAGTAGTAACATGTACACTAGATCGTGATTCATTGGGAAAATACGAAAGAAAGTAAATAATAACGGAATTATTCGTTTTGTATCAATTAATTTGCATAAAAGTGTAGTGTCCGGGTGTTAAGTTGGCTGGCCGGACAAAAATCATCCGTGGGCCGGATTTGGCCCAATGGGTTGGTGTTGCCGACTCCCAGGACAACAATATAGACAGAGAATATGGTTCAATAGAGTAAGATTTCCACTACTTAGTCCCTATTGAGTAATATGCATATAACTCTGATATCATATGGTTCCTGATATCATCTCTAAACTGGATCCCCACAATGATGTCCATGGTATGATTTATTTGAAGTGAGAAATCCAAGAATATCTTTTAACTTTTCTTTTTTTTACTACTATTGCCTCTGGTATTCATAACATTTCTGTTTCATATTGAAGACAAATTTACGGCATACTTCCATATGTCTTCACTTTCAAATCCGATCATGCTGTCTCTTTACTCTTTCTCTGCCAACTTGGGACATTCACTGAGTATATCGTTGTCTTATCAGAATGCACACATATCCGGTTACAAATATTATTATTATTATTATTATTATTATTATTATTATTATTATTATTTCCTTTGATTTCTGGTGTATAGTCATTTCTTCTCGGGTGCCAACCAGCGACGTAAGGTCAAAAACATCACCATGACATTTTCCACTGAGCATGTTTTGAAAAAAACAAAAAAAAACAAAAAAGAACAATTAAGATCAGACACATTTTACATAGGTAAAACACTTCTTAAGATGTGAGCTGTACTTATAAGTAAAAGTTTTTGTATTTCTTTAAGGCATTATTATTATTATTATTGTTATCATCATCATTTATTATTATTATTATTTTCATCAACATCATCATTATAATTCGATTTCTATTATGGTTACGTTACCTACCAAGGCAGGTAATGGTGTGTTATTATGGCTACATTATTTGTTTTTCTAACACCACTAACGTTACGTGGACAAAGTTCTTCTTAGAGTGGACAC